AACAAAACTATTCCTGATCTCAGCTATCACTGTATGAAATTGAAGATAGATAGGGTCAATGTCCAAGTTAGGCAAAATGGCACAGGGAAGAACAGTAAGCCTGTCTTGAAACAAATGGGTATTGCTGCAGAAGGAGAAAGTAATAGTTTGGATACCTACAGTAGATTCTGATGACAAGAAAGTACCAGAATTGGTCTTTGGAGTGTGTAAGTGTTTTTTGAGTTTTTTCAGAAATACTTGGAGATAGGAGCCTGTAAAGATAGTACTTTATGGCCGGGCATGGTGGCTCATGCCTGTAATCCAAGCACTCTGGGAGGCTGAGGCAGGAGGATTGCTTGAGCTCAGGAATTCAAGACCAGCCTGAGCAAGAGTGAGACCCCCATCTCTACTAAAAAAAAAAAAAAAAGAAGAAGAAGAAGAAGAATTAGCTGGGCGTGGTGGCACACACCTGTAGTCATAGCTACTCAGAAGGCTCACTTGAGCCTGAGAGTTTGAGGTTGCTGTGAGCTAGGCTGATGCCATAGCACTCAGGTTGGGACAGCAGAGTGAGACTCTGTCTCAAAACAAAAGAAAAAAAGACAGTACTTTATGCAATTAAAAGAGATGGAGCTGAGACTACAATGATTTGAGGATTAAAGGTACGTGTAAAGTTTGGAGTTTGGTTGCAAATATATTCTTTCTAATCTTCACAACTGCCCAGGAAGTTGATTTTATTATTTCAGGACAGTGAGGCTTGAGCAATGTCTGATCCAAGGCTGCAGGGAATGTTACGGGCAGGGTGGGCTCAGGTCCACGTCTGCCTGTCTCAGACGCCCAGGCTCGCTCTGCTATGTCATGCTGTCTCCCTGAACACAACTTGTCTGTGTGCTTCCTTTCAAGACCTTCAAAAAAGGAAGACTGGGGTCATTTTCTTCCACTCCACAGCCAGACTGGGGGAATTATCCAAGGGATGGTAAGATGTGGCAGCTACAAGAAGAAAAAGAACTTTTTCACTTAGCAGAAACTAAGGCCCCTTGTGGTCTCCTTTAATTTCCTACTTCCTTATCTGCAAATTTGTCGTTATCTATATACATTCTCTTCTCTTGTTTCCCCCCTCAAATAAAGTTCTTTTCTCATTTAAAGCCAAAATTCTATCTATGCCTCCCATTGCCCTCTCATCGTCTCCTTCCAGACATGTTCCATCTGCACATTTGCTTGTGCTTTGAATCTCTTTCCTTGCTGGCTCCTGTCTCTATACCTGTAAAAGTGCTCCAATCTTTCGCACGTTAACCCACCAAATTAACCTTTTCATACAGTTATCCACACTTCTCAAAAATGTAGATTATTCTTAACTCCACCTCCCCACATCCCAATAATGTTTTATTTCTTTCTCAACTAGCTTCCATTTCCATTTCCCTACCTTCATTAATGTCATCCTAACATCCTAATGGACACTTTTAAAAGCCTTTTTAAAGTCTTATACACATATACAAGAGAGCTAAGTGTTCAGCACAAAGAATGATCACATAGTGGATACACCTGTGAATCTACCACCAAGTTAAGAAATAGAACATTATCAGCTCTGCAGAAGTCGTGTGGTATTTTTCCAATCATTATTTCCTCCTTCCTCCTTAAAGGTAACACCATCCTGACTTCTCATACCATAGATTACTTTTGCCTGTTTTAAACTTTATATAAATGGAAACTTACATCATATACTCTTTCGTGTCTGGCTTCTTTTGCTCAACATTATGTTTGTGCAATGTAGCCATGTTAGTGCATACAGCAGTGGTTTATTTATTGTTATTGCTGTGCAGTACTCCACTGTATGAATATACTGCATTTCATTCATCTTACTGTTAATAGACATTTGAGGTTATTTCCAGTTTGAGACTATTTCAAATAAGTTTCCATGAAGATTCTTGTACTTGTCTTTTTGGTGCATGTGTGCACATTTTTTTTCATTTGTTTTTAAAGAAGGGAAGCAGTTTGGTTGGGAACACCACAGAACAGGTTGGGGAAATGAAGGCACAATAGTATTTAACCAATTAGGTCAGGCACAGTGTGGCTCACGCCTGTAATCCTAGCACTCTGGGAGGCCAAAGCAGGAGGATTGCTTGAGGTCAGCAGTTTGAAACCAGCCTGATCAAGAGCGAGATCCCGTCTCTACAAAAAATAGAAAAAATTAGCCAGGTGTGGGGCTGCACGTGTAGTCCCAGCTGCTGGGGAGGCTGAGGCAGGAGGATCGCTTGTGCCCAGGAGTTTGAGGTTGCCGTCAGCTTGGCTGATGCCAGGGCAACAGAGTGAGACTCTGTTTAAAAAAAAAATAATAATCAATTAGGCAAATTTATCATGAGCAACTACTTTCCTTACACAGAGAGGTGTAAGGCATGGGTCCAGCCAAGAGAAGGTACTTGGGGAAGAGATGTATTCTTGTGTGCCGGAATACACGGAGAATGGGAACAGAAACAGACTGTGTAATTAAGTGCAAAACTGCATACGCCCATAGTCTAGTCAACTTTTGGAATCTCTGGGCTAAGACTAGACATTTAATACTAGGGCTGGATTCTCAACTCCTGCTCACCCGTATTCTGAGACTAGAGAGTCACCTGGGGGCAGTGCATGGGGAGAAGAAAGAGGGCTGTAGCTCTGGAGATCGTGTCCACAGATCTGAGGCTTACTTCTGCCAAACTCTCTTCTTCCCTCTGCCTACCACTCCTGACATCAGACTAAAACCTTGGTAAATAGTGAAACTCCAGATGGACCATGCACTTCCTACCCCTACAGATAAATGTGCTGGGAGGGAGAGGGGAGCCAGGGCAGATCCCCCCGGAGCAAGTGGGCTCAGGAGACCCAAATGTCATATTTGATACCTAAAGTCTGAAGTCTGGGCGTATTTGGAAGTCAAGGAAAGTGAGAAGAGGAAGAAGGAGCTGAAAGGCTGCATTGGGGCTTGGGATTAGAAGGGGTGTGGGGTTAGCTGCAGTGATGATGACAAAATAGTTCCTTAAATTTGTATCACATAACAGTTTATAAAGAGCTTTCCATTTGCAAACTTCACTTCTCTGTGGAGTGGCAGGGCAAGGATTACCCCCGTTTTGCTGATCTGTCCAAGGACAAGACTGGATGGAGGGCAGAGTTAGGACCCTAATCCGCAACTCCAGCCCCTCCTCAGAAGCCCCGAGGGTGAAGGACAAACATGACAAGAGACCTGGAGATGGCCAAGTGGCTAAAACAGTTGCAGGGGGGAGAAGCAGAGGGGTTGGAAAGGTTTGAGGATCTGAAAACTGCTCCGTTCTCGGATTAGTCGGAAGCCACCTGGAAGGCGGTGACTTGAGTCGCCACAGCGCGTTCGCGGACTCCGGGGTTTGGAAAGTCAGGCTTCCCGGGGCGCCCCACAGAGGGTAGGAGCCAGGTGGCGCCGCCCCTCCCGGACGCGCGTCGGGCGCCCTCGGGCACCCCGCGCCGCCCGCAGAGGGCGAGGGCAGAGCGGCCCGCCCAGGTGCGCCAGGGGTTGGGCCGGAGCCCGGAAGGTACGCTGCCCCGCCCCGAACCTGTCCCCTCGGCCTCCCCCCGCGCGAAAGTGAAAGTGTCGGGACCGCGGAGGTCAAGGATTGGGGGGCGGGGCCGGCGCGGACCCGGGAGCGGGCGCCCGCATCGAGGGGCCATGGATGGGCTCGGCCGCCGCCTCCGAGCCAGCCTGAGACTGAAGCGCGGCCACGGGGGTTAGTCTGGCGGGGTGCGCCGGGGCTGGGGCGCGGGGACGGCGCGGGCACGGGGGAGCGGGCACCAGAGCCGGGGTGGTGCGGGTCCAGGGGAGGGCGGCACGCGGCGGGATCCCGGAGCCGCTGGAGGGGGATTCAAGGGGCTCACGCGGGGATCAGGAGAGCGCGAGCGAGAGCAGGTAGAGGCGAGGAGGGTCAGGCGGGGGCGGGGGCGGGGTCGAGGGACTGCGAAGTGGCCAGGCCTGCGGGGGCGAGGGGGAGGCGCCGGGCAAAGGAAACCGTAGTGGGGCCCCAGGGCCACGTGTCTTTCCATCCAGGAAGCTGTGGTGCAACCGCAGTGTGCCTGAAGCTCCGGGCGCCCTCCGGAGGCGCAGCCTCAGCCCGCGTTGGCCTGCCGCTCCGCCCCACCCGCTGCTCGGAGACTTGGCAGTGGCCTTTGCCCACTTCCTGGGAGGGGGCGCCCCTGCCCCTGCCCCGCAGGTAGCCATGGGCCACAGAAACTGGTCCCCGGAACTCGCACCCAAGGGTGGCCGGGTGCCCTGCAGAGCGTGACCTTGGGCAGAGTTGGGACAGAGCCCGCTCAACTTGACAGTGTGTGACCCAAGCAAGTCACTCTTACCCAGAGCCTCAGCCCCCATCAGTGAAACGGGAAATTCATTCATTCATTCAACAAACTTTTGTTGCCGGTTACCACTAGCTGGTCCTGCGGCTGAGCAGCCGTAACTCTGAGATACTTTGTTTGTCCAGAGGTCCCACCTTCTCAGGAGAAAAGAGAGGATTAGAAAGTGAGCAGGGGTCATTCCCGGGCAGCTTACCCTTTCCAACACTGGCAAGTCAAGAAGCCCAGCTAGCGCCTCTCCTACTCCGAGCCCCAGGGTTGGGGGACTCTAGGGGGTGGTCAGTGCTCCCTTCTCTGAACCGCAGTGACCTTTGAGTGTTATGCTCTTTGTCCCATTCCCAGCCCTTTTACCACCCCCAGCCCTTGCTGTGTCTCTCTAAACACAGGTCTCCAATCTCTGTGCACCATGGGGGAGGTCAGAGACCAGGGGCGGGGGCAGAGGCCTGGGGCTGCTGGGTGCTGGAGCAGAGGTGTTCTCCCTTCTCTGGGGAGCACTGACATGGTCTTTCCTGGTCTTCTCAGACCCTGGGAAGTCTGCGTGGATGATGGGGTCTGTCCCCTAAGGCCCAGAGGAGACGTTCCAGTTGTCCCCACCCACATGGGGGCTGATGATCGTGCCTGTAGGAGCTTCCTAGCACTGGGGAACTAACTGTAAGATGAACAGTACCTGCCCTGAGCTCTAGCATCTGTCAGTCTCTCTTCATTTTCCACACCATCCTCCACCTTCTTGGGGATTTTCTCCTTGTTCTTTTGCTTTCCTGCCCCCAGGACAGTTGTGCATTAGGGGAGAGAGAGAGACAGAGAGACACAGAGAGAGTGTGTGTGTAATTATCCTGATGGGTAGGAGTGGTGAGGTGATGTTCCTGGGTTGAGAGCAGCTGAGATGGAAAAGGAAGGGCCAGCTTCCTAGGTCAAGTTTCTAGAAGGTCCCCTCATTTATATTCTAGATCAGTAGTCCCCAACCTTTTTGGCACCAGGGACTGGTTTCATAGAACAATGTTTCCACTGACCTGAAGGGGTGGGTATAGGATAGGCGGAGCTCAGGTGGTGATGCCAGTGATGGGGAGTGGCTGTAAATACAGATGACGCTTTGCTTGCTCCACCCCGCCCCTGTCGACCCACCCCCCTCGCCTTCTGCCACCACTGGGCACTCACCTTCTGTGCACCACCAACCCCTTAAGTTTCATGGAAGATGGTTTTTCCGAGGGGGTTGGGGTGGCAGAGCTCTTCCACCTGGTCCCTAACAGGCCACGGACTGGTACTGGTCCTTGGCCCGGAGGTTGGGGACAGGAGTTCTAGATGGTTCTGGGACTCCAGTCAGGTGGCTGTGGGAGCAGCTTCTTGGGGGGAGCAACAAGTATAATCAGACTCCCAACTTCCCTAGAAAAAGTGACTCTCTCCTTAACTAAAACTCAGGATAATAATTCCTTTCTAGGGCACTGGGGATTAAATGAAGATGACTTATAGGAAGCATATGAGGTTTATGGATGTTAATTTCTCTTATGCTTTTCTTTTCTATTGATAGATAACTCCTTTCAAACAGGGGGTGGGCAGAGAAAGTAGTCATTTGCTAAATTTCTTGGACCTCGTCCCAGAAGTCTAGTTACTTTTTTTCTGATGAATATCCAAGTTTTGCCATACTCTTGACTCTCCTGATAAAGCAGGAGAAAATGAGCTGAAAATGCAGCTGAAAGGATTTAGGGAAAAGCATGGTTTCTTGAGGTTCTGGAATGATCAGTGAGAAGATTCTGGTTCTCAGAGCCCTTTGCAAACCTTTGTGAGATGTTTGATGTGGAGTGTAGCCAGAAGACAGGAGCATGGAACAGGGAGCTTTCATAATTCCCATCCCCAACAGGTCTTGTTAATTTTAAATAGCCTCTGAATTACTCTATGACTCAGTTTCCCCATCGGTATCAGGAAGATGTCTGCTGCCCAGACAGGCAGTGAGGATTGTGCAACAAATCTGTGTAGGTTGCAAGTAAGGTGTGGTGATGGCTCTGAGTGTTCTGGTTCACTATGATCACCCCTTCCAGCATCTGGAACTTCCTTATTTACTGTGACTGGGGCTCCTCCAGGAGTCATGGCCTTTTAGTCCCACAAAAGCTAGGTCTAGAGTTCTTAGGAGCACGACAACTGTCTCCCCCAACCCAGCACCGCTTGCTGCTAATTCTTTGCAGGAGTGGCAGACACTGGCCCCAAACCCTTTTGCCACCTGCCTTCTCTCTGAGGCAGCTTCCTGCAAAAGTCTTTCCCTCCTTCCCTTTACATTTACTCATTCATGGGTGTCTGTGAGAAGCCAAGGCAATTTATTGCTATTTTTTCTCTCTTCCCCAGTCTGCAGACACAGCAGTGAGCTAGCAGCTCTGCTTGTAGCTTGTTCAGAAGCATTGACCTGGCCCAACAGGGAGGACAGCTGAGGAGGAGGGGAGGGCGTTAATCACCTGGTTGCTTTCCACTGCCACTGAATGACCTTTAGGCTGCTGGTACAACCAGTCCCCTACACTAGACTAGGGACAGTCTCCTGAGTCAGCGCTTCCTATTTGGGAAGAGGGACTCTCCTAGGACGCAGTGCTGGAGACAGAACTCTCTGCTTTTGCCCAGGTTTGTAATTATTTCTGAAATATCAGGAAGTCTCAGCTCAGAGATGGACTTTGCTCTCTACTTTACCATCAGGCGAAGAGGCTTTGGGTCCATATTATTTCCAGGACTCTCTCTTGCTTGAAGAATTAATCTGTTTGGATAATTATTCATTTTAATTAGAGGAGGGCAGTGGCATCCTAGTTGCAGGGAGAGTTTGGTCCTGTGCTCTCGGTTGGCGTCCTGAAGTCCTGGAAGTTCTGGAATGCAGCAAATGGCCTTGCAAGGGTTTTCAGCTGCTGTTGACCAAGTTGAAAAGTGAAGTTCAGCAGCCAACATTGTAGGGGTACAAGATCCTTGTCCTGAGACTGGTGAGTTTCCAGCACCCACAATCTGATGCGATCGGGCATTCTTCTCTGTCCTGAGATTGTAAGCAAACTCCCTGCACAATCTGCAGCCAGCCCAGAATTCAAAGCCCTTAACCCAGAAGCAGCTGGGCCTTGGAGGTGTTTGCTCATGACCTTTTCTCTCACCACACCCTGGGACTCCTGGGAGGAGCTGAGCTCTGTGCTGCAGTGCCAGGATGCGGCCTCTGTCAGTGCTGGCTTCTGCTGCCTTCCTGGGTCCTGTCACGTCTTTCTTGCTCAACCATGGGGTGCACAGCATGGAAACTGCTCTCCCCTCTTTGGAATACAGCGTGTGGCTTGGCTTCATAGAGTTGTGGCTGGAGACTGAAGCAGCAGGCTTTCTGTAGCCAGTCTGTGTTGCGGGAGAGGGGAGTCCTCTCTGCCCGGAAGGCCCAGAGATGGAAGGACGAGTGGTAGGCCGGGTGCTCAGGATCTTCCGACACCGGCCGCCTTGGCTCCGAGCAGGTCAGGACTGGACTGCCCACTTCCTTGTTTATAGGGTGACCCATTTAGTCAGGGCTGTTTCTTTCTTGAAATGCCCCTTCTTCCTCTTCCTTTATATCTCGACCTCCACATGGTCCCCCATGTGACTGGGCCAGGAGACTTCCCCTGCTGGCTTTTAGAGTTGGTCATGCCCTCTGTAAGGTCACAGTCTCACACCCCTTGGGCCTGTTCTGATTTGTTTAGTAGGAGTTTACTCTCGGGGCACACTGTTCTGGGACTGCCCTGGTCACCCTGCCGGTAGGCAGAGTCTCGTGGTTCCTTGGGGCCTAGGGCCTGCATGTGGCCTCTCCAGTACATTTCCTTGGCTTCCACATCAGTGGTTTCTTTCTTCCTCCTCTTGGGTCCCCATGGTTTCCAGTCTCCCAGCTTAGGTGTGGAAACTGCCCAACTGGCTCTGACCCTATTCCGTGGCCAGCGGTGCTGGCCAGGCTCCAGGTATCTCAGCATGGAAGTCACCTAGATTCTCACAGGCTCCACTCTGGGAATGGATCAATGAGCTTCTGAAGTGCCCTGGTGTCTCCGTTTCAGGACCTCCCCAGGACAATCCGGGGGAAGCTGTAAAGGAACCGGAAAGAGCCCAGGAGTACTCCCTGCTCAACTTTGCTGGAGGCCAGCACTTCTTTGAATACCTTGTTGTGGTTTCTCTAAAAAAAAAGCATTTAGGGGATGATTATGAGCCCACGATCACCTACCAGTTTCCCAAGGTAAGTACTGGGGCAGGGGGAGACAGGACTGGGGTGTTTGAAAGGTGGTGGTGGTGGTGGAGTTCCATCTCCTTCTGCCCACGCGGCCAGGGCTTGCGTCTGGAGCCGCGCTGAGCTGGGGCTCACTGCTCTCCATTTCCTTCTTAGCTCAGCCCTAGTTCTGTTGTTATCACCCACAGAATCTAGGTCTGACTTCTTTGTGAGGGCCTGACCTAAGCTTCCTAGCAGGGAAAATAGGCTAGTTCTTTTGTCCCTTTTGGGACCTCCTAGTTCTCCCAAATTCCATCTTCAGTCGCCCTTCTCTGTAGAGAAGCTTACCTTCTGCCAGACCTCCCAGGAGTCCCCTGCATGGGTTATGTGGGAAGGACAGGGTGGGGCCGGCACATGGCCGGTGGGCAGGCACAGCTCTCTGTCCCAGCCCAAGCATCACACTCTTCCTTGTCTCATCCTGTGTGGGGTGAGGGTGGGAATAGGACATGCTTCTTGTTAACCCTTCTCATTAGCAGGCGTGGCAACTGAGCTGGCCGCTTCTCTTCTCTGATGTGGCATCTCTCTGACTTTGTCTTCCCAGAGGGCTAGGTCATCTCAGGGCCTCTCTGTATTCAGCGTGGCCCTGACCTCCTTTCTGACTATGTAGATCCTCCGGCTACTGAAGTGCAACCCAAGTTCATGTCGACTTGGCCCAGGGTGGGCTGTCTCAGCTTTGGGGTGGTTGCGGTCAGACTCAGAATGCAGACTGTGCAGAGTGACAGCCAGAGACACCTGCTCGCCCTCCTTCTACCAGTGGAAAAACTCAGACTGCTTTCAAGCCTCAAAAGAAGCCCACCAGCCCTCAATCCCTCCCTCCTGCCCTTGTGCCCACCCCCACAGTCTACTTGTCTCTTTGTCTTTTTCTTATAGCGGGAGAACCTGCTTCGGGGCCAGCAGGAGGAGGAGGAGAGGCTGCTTAAAGCCATCCCCTTGTTCTGCTTCCCAGATGGGAATGAGTGGGTGCCACTCACCGAGTACCCCAGGTAAGTACTCAGCCCTGGGACAGGGGTGTCTGACTCGGGGAGAAGGGACAAGTGTGGGCCATGTGGCTCCTGTGGCCTCCTCATCTGCTGCACATGCTGACTTCCTGCCAGGGAGTGCAGTTGATTCATTTATAAACATCCTGCCTGGGGGTTCTCAAGGCCAAGGATATTCGCTATCAGTGTGACCAGTCACCTTTGTTCAAATAAGGGTGGGATTCTCCTACCTGTCCTAGGAGGTAGTCAGTGCTTTTGACTCTGCCATTGGCAGGAGCTGGGCTCCGCAGAAGGCCTGTGGCCCCTTACAGCATGAGCTCTGGAATTTGACTGCCTGAGTTTGAATTTTGGCTCCACCACCATTTGAGTTGCATGACCTTGGAAAAGAAACACCCTTTTATAGGTTCAGTTCCTTCATCTTTAAGGTGGGAATAATAATGGAACCTACCTCAAAGAGTTGTTTTGAGAATTAAATGAGATGATGCATTTAGGGCTTGACACCAAGGGCTTAATAAATGACTGGTGTTACTGTGATTAATCAGCAGCTCCCCTTTGCTCTCCTCTCTAGCCCTCTCATGCCGACTGCCTTCCTGTTTAGAATCCAGTGAGCAAAATGCAAACCAAGCCTGTCTGCTCTTTCTTAGGGAGACCTTCTCCTTCGTTCTGACCAATGTGGATGGGAGCAGAAAGATTGGATACTGCAGGCGCCTCTTGGTCTGTGCAGCTCAGAACTGCCCCTTCCTCTCTGCAGCCTGCTCAGCTCCACAGCTGGGCTTACTCAAGCCTCAGTTGCAAAAGCCCAGGCTCCTTGGCAGCAGTATTTGTAGAGAGCACAGCCCTGCGCCTGCTGCCATGTTAGTGCCCCTTCTGTAACCCTGCAAGAATGAAGACCTGATCAATGCCCCTCCTGGCCCGCCTGGGGGACCTATGCCGGCCATGCTCTGGGCTGTGCTCTCCCCAGCTTTCAATAGCTCTCCTCTGTGTGAGAGGCTCCAACTGCTGCTCCTCATGCCTTCTCTATCCAGGCCTGCTTGCCTTGGCCCCTGGAGCCTCCCAGAGCAGAGGCTGCGATTTGGACAGTTAGGTTCAAATCTTAGGTCTCAGGAGGATTCTCCAAGTTCCCTTTGTAGTGCTTTCCTCCCTGGCCATTTCCTCATCTCTGAGACACACTTGCTTTCCTCTCTGCTGACCCCAGGTTGTGATGGTACTGAAAGCAGCAGTGCTTACCCCTGAGCCCTTTCAGAGCCCTCAAGGACTCTTCTTTTGACCTTGGTGGCCGCTCTGACCTCCCTGCAGCCTGTCCCATGAATGGAGCCTCTGCATAGCCAGGCCTTTCTCCATCTGGCCTGCCATTCACCATTACGCCCCCCATCCCCCAGCCTTGTGCCCCACCAGCCCCCATTGAGGGAAGTCCCTGGGGAGGCTGCAGCGCTGAAGGCACCTCTCTGCCCCTCCCCAGCCCGCCGGCCCTGGCCCTCGCCTTCCCAAAGTGTACTGCATCATCAGCTGCATCGGCTGCTTCGGCTTGTTCTCCAAGGTAGGGGTGGAACGGGATTCCTCAGAGCCTGCTAGGCCTGTTCAGCTTCCGGGTTCTGCCTGGCTGCCTGCCCTGCCTGTGCAACCTGAGCCCTTAGTGGAGCTCTTCCCCTGCAGCCAGGGTCAGCATCAAGGCACACTTGGGGAAGCTGAGGCAAAGAAGAGGTTGGACTTGACTTGATTTTAGGGAAAAGTGGAAACTGAATCTAGGGGACTGGATCCCTTGCAGAGAGAGCCACTGTTCCCACTCTAGCTGAGGGAGAAGGCATTGAAGCAGGACAGGGGGAAGGAGTGCTCTGCCCTGAGTTTCAGTTTCCTCGTCGGCCAAGTGGATATAATGATCCCTACCCTTCCTATCTCACTGGCTGGTGTGAGGCTCAAATGAGCTGATATGTTAGAAGTTTCTATAAAATGCAGAGCACTAAACAAATATGAAGACAGTCATTATACACTAGGGGACCTGAGATTCCCTCTGACTCCTTCGAGGGTAGGGGAGCAGCCGAGGTCCCCAGTACTTCTGCTGGAGCTAATTTGAGTGCCAGGACACCCGAGTCAGGACCTGAGAGCATGGACAGGGCCTGCCGTGGTGGCCAGAAAGGGCTTCATTGTGCTCTGCCTCCAGCAGGACCCTTGGAGGAGGGGAGGAGGAAACTGTCATCCTTTGCTTGGGCAGAGCAGTGTTCGAGGCGTGGGGGCTGGCCCTGGCCCTGGGAGTCTCGAGGACAGAATGGCACCAAGAGGCTTTGCCTTCTAGGCTTCCACTTCAACCAGCACAAATGAACTTGGCACCATTGTGGATGATGAGTTTCCTCTGGTGTGACTTTGTCGGGGACATAGTTTTATGTTGGTGTTAAGAGAAGGGAGGAATATGGATTGGTAGAGAGAGAATGCAGCGAAGAAGGCCAGGAAGAAGCAGGTCTCGTGCGGGAGATAAACAGCAGGCTATTTAGCGTGAGAGCAGTCTCTGCCAGGGAGGGAGAGGAGCAGTTGGTGGAGGGGCCTAGAAGACACATGAGGATTAGCTGAACCAGCGTGAGAACCTTATGATGTTCAGGGGCACATGGGGTCTCTGCCGCTCACCCAGTAGCATTCCTTTGAGCCATGCCTCCTGTGGGTCCTTTTCCCTGCAGATCCTGGATGAAGTGGAGAAGAGGCATCAGATCTCCATGGCTGTCATCTACCCGTTCATGCAGGGCCTCCGAGAGGCGGCCTTCCCTGCTCCTGGGAAGACTGTCACCCTTAAGAGCTTCATCCCGGACTCGGGCACTGAGGTGTGTTAGCAAAAAAGGCAAGATCCTTCCTGGCTGGAGAGGGTGGGCTTCTTTGGCACCTCTCACCACTGTTCTTCCATTGACCAGGTTAAAGTGCAGAGAAACTGAGCCCAGGTGGGCTGGGCTTGGCTAGAATGATTGGCAGAGCTGAAAATCAAGCCCCAATATTCTTTATTTTTTTTTAAATTATTATTATTATTTTTATTTTAGCGTATTATGGGGGTACAAGTGTTAAGGTTACTTATATTGCCCATTCTCCCCTCCCCCCTCGAGTAAGAGCTTCAAGCATGTCCATCCCCCAAATGTTGCACATCTTACTCATTGTGGTTGTATATACCCATCCCTTCCCCCTCCCACCCTCCCGACACACAATAAATGTTACTCCTATATGTCCACTTAGGTGTTGATCCGTTAATACCAATTTGCTGGTGAGTACATGTGGTGCTGGTTTTTCCACTGGCTTTTCACTTAGTAGAATGGATTCCAGCTGTATCCAGGAATATACAAGAGGCGCTATATCACCATTGTTTCTTAAATCTGAGTAGTATTCCATGGTATACATATACCACATTTTATTAATCCACTCATGAATTGATGAAGCCCCAATCTTCTGATACTTGTAACCTGATGCCCCCAAGCACCTAGTTACTGCTCAAGCCACCTTGACTTTTATATATAATAAATAAACTGTAAGTTGAGGCTTTTGGTACTAGAAAGAACTTTGCCCCCAGCACCCAACATGTCACTTGCCTTTATTCTCCAGTGTCTGTCCTCTATCTCTACATCATAGCCTCCATCTATTTCTTATCATCTGTCCCCACCCTTGGGTCCCCACCTAAGCCACAGGGGGCTGCCGTTGTTGTAAGGCACCAAGCTGACTGAGGCAGCAAATGGAACATTGTTCTACAAATTGCGGTTCCTGACCCAGGAACTCTGAATAGTCTGCGTGCTCCTCTGCAGCTTGGCTTCCTCATGGGAAGATGTTTACTTTAAAAATAAGTACCCAATGCTTGCTGTGTGCTAAGCTATACTATTTTCTGGGTATGCAGTTGTGACCAAAGTGAATGATCCCTGACCTCATGGAGCTAAAAGGCCAGTAGGAATGACAGACATTAAATAAGTAAATATACCAGTTCATATATAATTATGAATTATACAACTGTGTTGAAAGAAAAAGCCAGGGTGCTACATGAGAAAAAAGATGGTATTAGGTGGCCAGGGAGGGCCTCTGGGACCTGAGGGAGGGTAAGAAAGAAGGGAGCAGAGCAACGCTGGGGAGTGCTCAGCATGAGCGGTGCTGCAGTTGGGAAAGTGGAACAGAAGTGGGTGTAGGGAAGCATGGGGAGAGGTGGGGGGGACTATGTTCTGGGAGGTGAGGGAGGGAGGGAGCAGGACCTATGGGCCATGCTCAAAATTATACCTGTGCTGTTCTCGGAAAGCCATCGATGGGATTTTAGTGGGGGAGCAAGACAGGATGAGGTTCACTCCTGGGCAGAGAAGCAGTAGAGCCTGGTAGAGCCCAGCACTCCCGGGCCTGCGTGATCTTGCAGTGTAGTGACACCCTCCCTCTGTCTCTCTCTGTTTCCCCCACAGTTCATTTCACTGACACGGCCCCTGGACTCCCACCTAGAACACGTGGATTTTAGTTCTCTGTTGCGCTGTCTCAGTTTTGAACAGATACTTCAGATCTTTGCCTCTGCGGTGCTGGAGAGAAAAATCATCTTCCTGGCACAGGGTCTCAGGTGGGCCCCGCTGCTGAATGGCTCACTTGGACTGGCTGGCATCCCCGAGTTCCAGGGAAGAGACTGAGGCTCTCCAAGGAAATTGGGCTGTAGGGCGCTTGTCCCCACCCTCCTGCTTCCAGCTCCTCCATCTGCAGCTTAAGCCTAGAGAAACAGCCTCCCCTGCCTCCAAACTGCTGCCTGGGCCTGAAGAAGTTTCCTGACCTAGTCTGAGAAGAGCAGGAAAGACAGCCCGGGCAGACCAGTTAGGGTGGATGCAGACATGATTCTGCCCTTGCAAGGCTGAGGGAGGGGAGGAGGGTGGAGAACAGGGCAGGAAGGCAGATAATAGCATGAAGGTTAGGCCCATCTATCCATTTATTTACTCATTCAACAAACATTTACTGTGTGCCAACTGTTTGCCGGGTGCCAAGCATTGGGAAGATACAAACAAAGCAATGGTCCTTGATCTTAAGGTGATGCAAAACTGTATTGTAGCAGAATGAGGTTCAAATCTTGTTCTTCCACTTTTAGCTATGATGTTTCCCTTGAGTTAGTTTCTTAACTTCTTGAAGTCATGATCTCCTTATCTGTAAAATGGAACTAATGATTGTACTTAGCTCATAAAGTCATGGTGGGAATTGAATGAAATAATGCACATCGGGTGGCTAGCACCCTGCCAGGCATATTAGTAAGTGCTAGCTGCTATCTGTAGGAACTTCACAGTTGAGTATATCCCTGTGTATAGTCGAAGCAGGATACTGTCATGTCTTGGCCTCTACCTCTGAGGGGCTTCAAGTCTGAGAAAGACATGGTGAGATGTGACAGAATGGAGAAGAAAAAAAATCATGAAACAGTTAGGTGTGAAGCTTGTATTCATATCTGCAGAAGGAGAGAACTAATGATATTGGGCAGACAACCCTGGTTCTGTCTTTTAGGGAAGAAGAAAAAGATGTTAGGGACTCAAATAACAGAAGTCAGAGGGGCATGCGAATGGCATGGGTTTCAGAGAAAGGAACCCTGGGTAGGGAACAGGGTATGTGTGTTGAAAATTCTATAAAAATCAGTGATAACCAAAAAGGAACAAGTTGTAGGATAATCCTTACGGGAAGTGGCATAATCTTTTGCTTTGGAAATAGCTCTTCCACTCCCAGTCCTGTATGGAAACCAGAAATTTCCGCGTGGCTGGAGCTAGGTTCTGGCCCTTCCCCCTCAGATGAGAGTTTGGGACGTGAAGGTTGGGAGGATTCACCTCTCAGGCGCTAGCTTTCTCCAGGGAAATCCCAGCACTCCCCACTTCCTTCCCATTGAGTTTGTCAGATCCCTGAAGCTCACGTAGGGTGGGGACTTCCAGGCAGTCTAAGCCTTGGCCAGATTCTCAGAGACTCAATCTTGCTAACTCAGGAAGTGCTAGCTTGATACCAAGAACTGAAACGACGATTCCCGCTTCTGTTTTTGTTGGCCTTGGCTTTGGGGCAATTTGGCTGGAGAAGTGAAGAGCCAGGAAAGCTGGTGGAGGACAGAGTGGGGCTGTGTGTGTGGCAGGGTGGGGAGTGGGGCCGAGCTGTGACCTGGGCAGCAGTGAGAGGGGGAATGCCTCACTGGAAAGGCTGGAGGAGCTACCTCCATGGGACTTTCCATGTAGGGATTGCTGGGCAGAGATTCCTGGAACCTCAGAATTTCCCAAGTTAACTCAGGCACCAACCTGGTAATATTTAATAAGCTTGAGTGGCCAGAGAGAGCCATGTGAGGTAAGGGCTGGGGATGAGGACGGCTGGACATGAGAAAAAAAGGCTTTGCCTCTCCACTGAGCCCCCTGTGTTTACACATTGCCTCTTCACTACACTGTGAGTTCTTTAAAAGCAGGGTCAGCGTCTCCCCGTCTCCCGGTATCCACATCCTTAGCGCAGTTGTGAGCACAGAGTAGGGGCTCCATCACTTACCTGCTTGCATGAAGGCCACTCTTCCCTCCCTTCTTTGGGGTCACTTTTATTTTTGGCCAGTGGCGAGTTGAAGAAGACTCACTGGGAAAAGAATGGTCAAATAGAGGTGCCTTTCTTGGTTAGTGGGGTCTCAGCCTCTCCTGGTTTCTGTCCCACCCCTCCCAGCAATGCGCAGTTGCAAGCTCTGTGGCCGCCTTGGCACCCAGACTTGCCCTTTTGCACGGCACAGGCGGCACCGCAGTAGCTGCTGCGGGTGGTGGGCTGGATGGGTGGAGGGGCGGAGGTGCAGGGGCCTCTCTGACTCTCGTTCTCCTCTGCGCCAGCACCCTGTCTCAGTGCATCCACGCTGCTGCCGCGCTGCTCTACCCCTTCAGCTGGGCACATACCTACATCCCTGTTGTCCCCGAGAGCCTTCTGGCCACCGTTTGCTGCCCCACTCCCTTCATGGTTGGAGTACAAATGCGCTTTCGGCAGGAGGTCATGGACAGCCCCATGGAAGAGGTATGATGCTGCAAGCAGAGGGAGTGCTTTGGAGTCAGGCAGGTTTGGACTCAGCTCCCAGCTCTGCTGTGAACAGCTGTGTGATTAGGGGCAAGTTACCTAGCCTCGTTAAGCCTGAGCTTCCTCATTTGTAAAATGGGGATAACAATGTTCAGTTCTTAAGGATAGTGTGGGAAATAGTGTGCATAAAGCTCCTAACCTGATGCCTGGCACATAGTTGATGCTCAATTAGGGCTGGCTCCTTTTCCTGAAGGCTTTCCCGTTAGACTTAAGGGGCAGCTCCTGGCTTATCTAGGGGTCATCAGATTGTCCTCTGCCAGCTAGCCCTAATGAGCCATCTCTGGGGTGTCCCATCTCACCCAAATGGATGACACAGCCGGTCTATATCACACACACCCCACTGGAATTTGTTTAGATTCCATGTCAGTGAGCTAACATAACCCTCCTGCAACCTAAGAGTCCTGAAAATGCAGATTTTTGCAGCAAAAGCCATCGTTCTGAATAGCTCAGGGCTCAGTTGGCTAATGAGAATGCAGGACCCAATCCCCTTTGATTTTATTAGTTTCTTATTTCTTATTCTTGGCAGTGCCTCAAACACACCAGAGGCCTTGGTTGTGAAAATGGGCATTAACAGCACAAATCTATCCCCAGTGTTGGAAAAACAACTCAAAACTCGTGCTCTGCTTTCAGTTGTCAGTGGGAACTCTCAAAGGACAGCATGTTGCTGTATCGTAAGCCAGAAGAGGTACTTGGGAATATCTGCCCTGGCTAACCATTGACTCACTCCGTGCAGAGAAAGGGCTTACCGAGGGGAGAGGCAGGGTCTGGAAGTTAGCTATGAAGAGGCACAGAGCCAGCCCTACTGGAAGGGTTTCCCCATTTTACATAAGAGATAACTGAGGTCCAGGGAACTCAACTGACTTATCCAGAGCCACACAGGCAACAGGGAAACGTAGCATAGATAAAACCTAAGCCCCTCTTATAGAAAGCATTGCTGGGAAGTAATGAAACAGGCTGCATTTCCCTTCTTTGCTTCCTCAGTCTGCCCACCCTTCCTCAAGACTGCTGAGTACACATGACCTTTGAACCAGCATTAGCCTTGTGACTAACTTGGGACAGAGTATTAGCCCCATGTTTAGCAATAAATGTCCCAACCTCACAAGTTATGAAACTTCCTGACTCTGCAGCTCCAGCTCCTCAGAAGCTGTGGCTCCACCCCTGGTGGCCAGACTCCGGCTCCCACTATCCAAGAGCCTTGGCCTATTTTATTCCAAAGCAACTGCTCTGTGAAATGGGCAGGGGGTGTGGAAGGGGAGGGCCACGTGGCTGGGGGTGGGTGGGTTTTGGGGGGATCCCCTGACTTCCCATATAAGGTCTCTTGAAGGGATTACTCTACAGACAATAATATGCCCAAATACTGGAACAACCTTGCAAAATGAAATTCTTCATACACACTCTTTCCCCCAGTAGCCTTTCCTGCATGAAGCCATCTGAGCCCATGTATACAAGTTGTTTTCAGGCCTGGACTAGTCCAATTTTCCTCCCCTGATGATGCATAATTACAGTGCATGCTGTTTTTTGGCATACTTTCCAGTCTCTTTTCTTGTGTTTGGGAGAAGGGAACATGGAGGGTTCATTCACCCTATTGTCAAGACAAAGGGTCACAAACTAAAAATAAGACCAGCAGGCATTTAAATGACCAACACTGACTGGATTTGGGAGATTATAGTAAACTGGTGAGCACATACCCTGTCTAAAGGGAGCAGCTGCTACTCAGTTCTATCCGAAAGTTGCCCTTTAGAAATGGGGACCAGGACCAGTGTTAGAACTCTGACTTTTCAGGAGAAGCCAGAAATCCAATTTTTTTTTTTTTTTTTGAGACAGAGTCTTGCTCTGTTGCCCTGGCTAGAGTGCTGTGGTATCATCATAGCTCACTGCAACCTCAAACTCCTGGGCTCAAGTGATCCTCCTGCTTCAGCCTCCTGAGTAGCTGGGACTATAGGTGTGTGCCACCACGCCTGAGTAATTTTTCTATTTTTTGTAGAGACAGGGTCTCAGGCTGGCGAAAATCCAAATTTTGTGTGAAATATTCCAATTTAAACATTGGAAACAAATCCAATTATTTAAAAAAACACTCTGAAGATGAAAGAAATAGATCTGCTCATGGAAATCAGTCAGCAGAATGCCTCTTTGTAATCTCTGGTCTAGACTGAAGGCCACTCAGGCAGCGATGGAGCTAGTACTGGAACTCAGGTCCTCCAAGTTCCAACCCTGTGCTTATCTCACCCACCTAGACACATGGTTTCCTCACTTTCTTTCCTTCCCTCTTCCTGTTGATCCTGGGCTCATTTTCTTCCCTTGCTGAGTTTCCTGGTGGAAGCCCAAAGCTCTGAGTTTTTTCTGTAGAATTCCAGGCAAATGTACATAAAATTGTTACAAGCATTAAAAAAAATCAAATGGCACTAGTCTTTGTCCCATATGGCAGGGGTTGTAGAGAGAGGAATGTAGTCCCAATCTAGGTTTGGAAACAAACTGGTCTTGTTAGCAGTGTGACTTAACTCAGGCAACTTAACTTCTTTGGATGTTTCCTCACCTACAAAATGGAGGCGGTATCTGTGTGCTTCACAGGACTGTTGTGAGGATTAAATGAGATGAAATGGGTAAAACACTCATGTGTGCCATGTACTAAATGCTCCACGTATACAAGCAATTTCTGCAGTCAATGTTTTACTAAGGGAGCGACTGGCTGTGGCTTCCCATATTGTATTCCTCTTCCACGTTAGCTCTTTCTCCTACCTTCCTACACACACACCCACACCCTTTCCCCAGGAAGGGAACTGAGATTTCCAGAAGGGAATGGTGAGGAAGGAGAATGCCAGACAGGAAATGAGAGTTGATGTTGATTTTGTTACTGTGTGGGCTGAAAAAGGTACAGCCACAGGCAGAAATGGAGATGGCAAGTCCTCCTGAGGTCTATGAGAAAAGGGAAAGAGAAAAAGCCATTCTATAATATCTTTATTTCAGGTCCTGCTGGTGAATCTTTGTGAAGGAACTTTCTTATTGTCGGTAAGTGTCTGGGTTCCCCTGCAGGCCCACCACTAACTCAAGCACTGTAGTCTCATCATGCTCCATTTATTTCAACATTAAGTACTTTTATTGAGTGAGAACCCGTGCTAACAAAATTTTTCTTTCAAGGAGCACATAGATACAGGGGACTTCACTGCAAGGCAGTCAGTGTTAGTGCATTTCGAGCAGGGGGTATAAACCAAGTACCACAGGATTCGAGGGGCCCTCACTAATGTTTACAGTCAAACTGAAGACCAAGAAACAGCTTCTGTTGTTTCTCTACTATGTGGTGGATAATTTGGGGGTAGAGTGGGGTATAGAATTCATGTCCTTCTCATGCTCTTCTACCAACCTCCTGCACTCCATACCTCCTTCCTGCTTTATCACTGAGCTAACCCTGTCCTCTCCTAGGTCGGCGATGAAAAAGACATCCTACCACCAAAGCTTCAGGAGGACATCTTGGGCTCTCTTGGTCGGGGGATTGATGAGTTAAAGAGTAAGTCCTAGGCCCCTCTTATTTGGGGTTTCTCCAGGTAGATCGAGGATATGATTCTCAACTATTTCCTTCCAGAACTAAAATGAACTCGCTCAGCAGTCCAGGCCAGTCCCAGAGGCCTACATTTCAGGGGAAGTTTGAGTATGGGATTTTATTCTTCCTCAGCAATGGCAGAGAACACATAACCAGGCTTCCATTTCAATCAGTCAGTGATCACGAACCCTACCCCATAGATTTCCCCAGGAGCTTTCAGCTTGCAATGAAAGCCATACTTGGAGGTTGAGTTTAGGTAGTTTCATCCTTCTGCTATCCTCTCAGATGGACTTTATATGTCCCCTGCAGCTTCAGAAGAAATCAACGAGCATGTTTCAGGCCCCTTTGTGCAGTTCTTTGTCAAAACCGTGGGCCACTATGCTTCCTATATCAAGCGGGAGGCAAATGGGCAAGGCCACTTCCAAGAACGGTCCTTCTGTAAGGCTCTGACCTCCAAGACCAACCGCCGATTTGTGAAGAAATTTGTGAAGACACAGCTCTTCTCCCTCTTCATCCAGGAAGCCGAGAAGAGCAAGAATCCCCCTGAAGGTACAGTGACAGCCCCCACTGTTCTAGGTCCAGAGATGGTTACCTCTAGGATGCAGAGGAGAGGAGGAAAGAGTATTTCTCATAGAGGCTCACAAAATAGCTATAATTTTATTAATGGGTTGCAATGAAGTAACATGAAACCTAAGAAAATATCTCATGGGCTGATATTATGTAGAAGTTGTTCCATTTATCAGGCAGCAGGACCAGGCCCTTTTATCTTTGTTTGAATCTAGAGCTAATTTCTGCTAATTACCCTCTTGTTTGTGGGACCCTTTTTGAGCCAAACAAATACTGGGCAATCGAGGCAGGGAAGGTCATGTGTGTGGGGGTGGGGTTGGGGGTAAAGGAGCGTGGGGAGCAGAAATTTCTGGTCAATTCTCTTGAGCTCATCATAGTCTGCCTGACCAGATTAGATGCCTCTAACACCTGTATCTGAACCCACAGGCTATTTCCAACAGAAAATACTTGAATATGAGGAACAGAAGAAACAGAAGAAACCCAGGGAAAAGACTGTGAAATAAGAGCTGTGTGAACAAGAGAGACTAGACCTACTGGTCAGTGCTGGACTTCAGCCCCTGCCAGAGTGGTAGGATCAGGGAAGCTCTCAGCCCCCAGAATCCACAGCCTCCTTCCAAGTCCACCATCCAGGTCTTGCTTCAAACTAGTGACTGAGTTTGGTATTCCTGGTATCGCCTTTTTCAGGACTTTGGAGGGCTCTGACTCCATGCTCACAGAACTGGGCCCAGAGCTGCATTTTTTTGCGGAGGTATCACGGAGCCGGAAACAGTAGTACAGGTGTTGTAGACGCTTGGTTAAAAGTTGTTGCCACTGCCCTGTCTTGGGGACCGCCATTACAAAAATCTTCAACAGAGAACAGAGTTGTGACCCAAAGGCTTAGGCCCTCCACAAAAAAAAGGTCTGTGGACATGTGAGGATGAGAGTAAAGAGGAAAATCTTATTGCTTATGTGTGTGTCTTTGGCTTCCACTATGGGGGGAGAAACAGGAAAATGGGGCAATAAACATGAGAATAGAGTGGACGGATGAGAAGTGGAGGCCCTGGTCATGGTGGCCCTGAACCTGAGGCTGTGTTTGGAGTGGTAGAATCATTGAGGTTAGCAGTTCCACTTCTTCTAACAGGAAGGGTAAGAGATATTGGTAAAGGCAGCAACAGCACTGGACAATGGGCAGCAGAGTCCTTGGATCTAGTCAGGTTTGCTTTCCAGAATCCTGGGAGGAGAGGCTGCAATTCAGAGGGAAGCAGCTGCAGTCTAGGGCAGCTCAAGGGTAGGAATTTCAGTCAACAAAAGCCAGTGAAGAACGCTATTTGGTTTCCATAAGTAGGTCTGTTCGTCCATCACTTCATTTGGACTGGTCCTTCAGTCTTAGACTTTCTGCCTCCAACTGGTCTTTGAGAAGCACAGTTCAGTTCTTTAGCTAAAGGTGGAGGGATGCTTGCATAGATATTTTTCCTCTTTTACATTTTTCCCCTTTGAGAAAACAGTCTAAAGGAGTTTAGTGGTCACTAGTCTCTCCTCCCTCTGTACCTCTAATATCTTCTGTTCAAATAGTGGGAAACTTTTTTAGAAGTGTCTTACCTTTCCAAATTCCACTTTTTTTTTTTTAAATGTATGTGAGTATGGCCTTCTGAAGTCCCTGAATTCTATACAAAGAACACAAAAGTGTTTGGATGATGGAAGAGGGGCAGGGGCTATCAAACTGAAATTAAAGCCAATGTAATTTGGTTTTGAGAGTGCAGAGACATAGTGCAGGCAGCAGATATCCCACTGTCCATATGCCACCCCTAACTATACTGTGACTCTTCACAGCTTCTAAGAATTACATCTTTTCTGGTAGTTTATGGCAGTGGTTCCTAAACCTAATCATACCTCAAAAGGCTTCAGAACAGGAACCAGAATCCTAGAAATCTTATGAAAATACTCTCTGAGGCGCCAGCCCAAACCTGCCAAATCATTTGTAGGTATGAGACCTGGGAATCTGTATTTTCAAAAAGCTTCTTCAGGTGATTTTGATGCCCAACCAGGTATATGAATATAAGAAGAATTAGGGCCAGCAGAGGTTTACTACAAATATACCCTTGACCTGATGCTGAAGGTATATCTAGGGCTGAAGGAAGCACACACCAACTATCTGAGTGCTTTCCAGATTCCCTTTTAAGTTGAAAAAGATTTTGGGAGAATATACACATTTCAATTATCCCTCAACATCTAGGTTTATGCCTGGTATGGTGTAGGAGAGAACACTGCACTAGGATTCAGAAGATCAGGATTCCAGTCTCCGTTCTGAAAAACAGCAAGTGACAATGGTATGCCATTTAGCCTCTCCTGGCCTCAGTTTCCACTGTAAATAATTAACACCTGCTGTGTCAATAAGACAATAGACGTAACTGTGCCAAAAAAGTAGAATTATCATTCCTTTTTTGTTCTAGCTTTCAAAACTTGATCTGTCCTAGCATTTTCCTATATATTAATATATTTCTCTGTCCCAGATGTTGGAGAAATTGCTAGCAAGTGAGGTAATGAGATTTCCCTTTCCTACTAGTCTAGCAAAAAAAAAAAAAAAAAAAAAAAAAAAAAAAAATTAAAGTGGCAGACACTTGCTCCAGTAAAAAAGAAAGTAAAAAAGAATAATAATAATAAATAAAACCCCAACAAGATAAAAAAAAAAAAAAAAAAACCAAAGACTTCATAAAACTGCCTTTCAGCATATGACATGCCATTGACCAGAACATTCCACGGCTCGGGACCCTCGTTCCTGCCCAGGCATCTGAAGCCAGCCCTGCACAAGGCTGGCTGCTTCCCCGCACGCACGCTCACACCCTGTCAGTGAGAACACACTGTCACGTGCTGGGTCTCTACTGCCAGATGGTGGCTAAGACTAGTAGGAAAGGGAAATCTCATTACCTCACTTGCTAGCAATTTCTCCAACATCTGGGACAGAGAAATATATTAATATATAGGAAAATGCTAGGACAGATCAAGTTTTGAAAGCTAGAACAAAAAAGGAATGATAATTCTACTTTTTTGGCACAGTTACGTCTATTGTCTTATTGACACAGCAGGTGTTAATTATTTACAGTGGAAACTGAGGCCAGGAGAGGCTAAATGGCATACCATTGTCACTTGCTGTTTTTCAGAACGGAGACTGGAATCCTGATCTTCTGAATCCTAGTGCAGTGTTCTCTCCTACACCATACCAGGCATAAACCTAGATGTTGAGGGATAATTGAAATGTGTATATTCTCCCAAAATCTTTTCAACTTAAAAGGGAATCTGGAAAGCACTCAGATTGTTGGTGTGTGCTTCCTTCACCCTAGATATACCTTCAGCATCAGGTCAAGGGTATATTTGTAGTAAACCTCGCTGGCCCTAATTCTTCTTATATTCATATACCTGGTTGGCATCAAATCACCTGAAGAAGCTTTTTGAAAATACAGATTCCCAGGTCTCATACCTACAAATGATTTGGCAGGTTTGGGCTGGCGCCTCAGAGAGTATTTTCATAAGATTTCTAGGATTCTGGTTCCTGTTCTGAAGCCTTTGAGGTATGATTAGGTTTAGGAACCACTGCCATAAACTACCAGAAAAGATGTAATTCTTAGAAGCTGTGAAGAGTCACAGTATAGTTAGGGGTGGCATATGGACAGTGGGATATATCTCTCTCC